AACCATAAAGAAACTACTGGAAGTAAACCATCATGTCATTCATGGTTCCTTGTGACTGACATCATCTGCAACATTGGACTACCATGCACTAGCACAGGGTTGTCAAATTCAAATTCAAGGCCTGGGGGCTGAATCCGGGCTGCGATGTGATCAGATCTGGCCTGTGCTGCTGTCCTGGAAATGATAAGGGGGCAGCCCGCCTGGCTTCAGCCGGGCTCACCCAATTCCAGCAGGCGTATGGGCGCATAGGAGGCAGCTGGGATGGGGAGGGCAATATTGTGGCCTGCCATCCACCAGAGGAGCTGGTGGCAGACTCAGACAGTGTGGAGTTTGAGGAGGAATATGGGCCAGTCCTGGAGTCTGGGGAAGGCTGTGATGAGGGCTCTGTGTCAGAGGCACAGTGGGGGCCAGGGCCATCAGACAGTTATCAGCTGCCTCCGGAGTCAGATATCAGTGGGGCAGAAGAACAGTTGGAGCCTGTTCCCGGTGTGTGTATGTGCAGAGCTGCCAGGAGAAGGGATCGGCTAAGGAACAAGGGCCAACTCATGAGTAAAGGCACAGGTGGATGATGAATGGCCCCTCCCATAGGGAATAAAGAGGAGTGAAAGGGGAGGGGAGTTTGCAGGAGACAATTAGTTTAATTCATTAGGATGAAGATCTGCTCCTGATTTCTTGCCAAGTAATTGCTGCTACAGCGTGGTGTTTAGAAGATATCGGCCTGGCAACTCTCTAAGCCTGATAAAGGTCTGTAGTTGTGAAGACTTTTGCTGGGATTTTGCAGGAGAGGAATTCCCTTTAACCTAAATAAAAGAGGTTTTATTGGGACGAGGAGTCGGCTTCATGATCTTTGGAAGCCTAGGTCAGAACAGGCAGGGCCTGCATGCACAAGCATCCGTTGACTCCTGTGCACACATATGCCCTTCAGCTCCTCCAACACCACCACCGGCCGACAGAGAATAACTAGAATGCTGATCCGGTCTGCAAAGAAATCGAGTTTGACTATCGGGCCCATAATGGAATTCAGAACTCCAAAAAGGCATTGCTTGCTTACCTGTATAGTAATAAACTCATCAAAAAGTCGAAGAGGGGTTTCATTGAAATTTTGGACGAAGGTCTACAAGATAAGGAAATCAAACTTTCATGTTAATTTCTTGCCATGGTACACAAGAATGGACTTTAGATTGGCCTTTGATGACTATTTTAAAGCAGACATGCTTCTAGTCATTAAGAAGCAAGTCCCATTTTTTGAAGGCCAATTTCCCCCCAACAAACTTGCACAGCAGATGTCAAGGTTCCAAATGGCACCCAAAAGTAAATCAGAGTCCGAGGCAAAGGATTCCTCAAAGTTCCAATTTATTAAGAGAGCCGCGTTGGCACATCTGGGGAAACCCGAATCTGAAAGCTTCCAGGTTTTCCCCACCCAGTTGAAAGTTCAAGATCTTGCCCCCACACCCACAAGTCCATCACATGGTCCAATCATCTTCTACTGCCATGCTGGCAGCTTCCACCCATCCGG